TCTTCAATTCGGTCAATTTTCCGTTCGAAAAAAAAAGCAAACGATCAGCGAAGCGAGCAAACGAGCAAATTAAGCAAGCAATTAAGCAAAGAATTTAACAAACAAGTTAACAAACAAGTTAACAAACAAGTTAACAAACAAGTTTAACAAGTTAACGAACGAACCAAATAAAATTCCAAATAAATCCCAACAAATCCCAAACGAAGAAACATCAAACGCCAAACGGCAGTTTCATCCTTGCTCTTTTCATATATTAGGAAATATCGAACGATATATGGACCCCAACTTTTGAAGATTTCAGTTTGTCAAAAGTATAAACGAAAAATTTGGGCCCCCTTCAATCCCAACTCTTTTACCAAAATATTAGCATATATTATGCATATTCGTCGCATATAAATTATGAACTCCAGCTTTGCCCCCACAGAGTAACCATCCAACCAGTCCTAACCCAGTATATGCATAGAAAGATATATATAAGTATAAGGATATACTTTATCCACCACCACTTTACGTGTCGAAGAATTTCCAAGGCAAAGCTTCTTAATTAAAGTCAGCATTCCCATTTAAACAAAACACGAAGCAACTAGAATATTACTCACATGTATCTCGCATTCATATAATTATGAAAAAACAAAAAACGGTAAGAAGTAAATACATTTACCATAACTCTGTATGTAAGAGACTTCGAAGCAAATTCTACATATCATAAAAAAGAGGAAGAAGCAAAGTGGCCAAAAAACATAGTACATAGACTTATACATATAAATAATAAGTATAATAGCTCCCCATATTAACCAGGAGAGGAATAAAACAAAGGAAAAAAATCCTGAATAGATATTTTCCCCAATCCTACCAAACATATGAATTATGTAATTAAGTACTCTCACTCATATTGTATGCGCATCTTCGAAACGGTACAGATTAGCATAGGAAAGTAAAGAAACGCGTAAAAACAGGTAACGCACAAAAATAAGGTAATCTGCAAAAAATCAAGCCACACAGAAAAAATAGTCACGTTTTTTCCTTCTTTTCTCTCGATACATCACTTTAATATGCATAAGAACACCATTTTTAAATTTTTGGAAGACTTAAACTTCAGCTGCTGCAGATATAGGACAGAATAAGTTAAATGGAAATCAGAAACATTAAGGGTGTTTCGTATACAGGGGTTGTTGTGTTTGCATTATCTGAAAGGGGAAGAAACCCATGTTGACCGTAAACAAATGAACATATAGCAAAACGCAGGGGGAAGGAAAGAAGAAGATCTGCGTTATTGTTTCTCTCTATAAAAAAAAGCAAAAGTTAAACAAAGCGAACACACTATTTTTATATATTTTCTTTTTCTCTCCTTTTTGCTGTTATGGAATATAAAATATGATAAAGGGTAAAAAGGGGCAAAGTGAAAACATCAACGTAAAAACGACCAGTTAAACAACTCCAGCCAAAAAAACAGAAAAAACGTTTATGTCGAAGGTAGAAAGTTGAGTGAATGGGTCCAGGAGAATTTTCCCATTTGTGCTGCGTGCCCATCCCGCGAAGCACTTATTTGTATTTCCCCCCCAAAGATTCCCCATCAAATGTGTCCCTTCGCGTGTAGCAGATGGACTGCTAAATAGACAGTTGAGTGACTTAAATAGGGCAAGGAAGGAAGAACCCTGAAGATACCAATAAATAGTAATGCCTAAATGAAAAGCAGACAAAAGAACCAATAAAAAACGCTTACACGAATCCTAAGTGATACGAATATAGAGGAGAAATTCGTTTCTATGGTACCTCCAGAGGGTACAAAAGAGTACATACATAATATATATATGTATATGCACGTTTAAGGTGACGCGCCAAATCTTAACGGCGAAGAAAGGGACATATAGCACGTGAAAGAGACAAAACGCAGAAACGGTTATTATCCTTTTACATGCACATGCCTATAGATTTACGCTAACGAGTGGACACACTGCTCAATGAGGTAGCCGTGCGCGTACTCTACGACCAATGTTGTAAAGGATTATAATGCAAATATAAAAATACATAGAGGAAGAAAGAAGAAAAGCAGAGGGGTACGACGATACCAAGTTAAGCTGTTCAAAAATCGTTGTAAAAACTTCCCAAAGAATAAGAGATCCATGTGTAATTAGTTAAGTATCTCATTCAATCGAAGTCACACTCATGTGAGTAGGTGCGCATACAAATAATGAAAGATGTGCATATCTGTACAAAGTATACCTGCTGAATTATCGCCGCTGGTTTGTCCCCCCACACATTCGCTTTCGACGTTATAAAATACTCAACCCTTAGCAGTTTGGTCAGCACGACAACTAATTTGTTCTATGTAAAGCGGCCACAAGACGAGACGCCAAACTTAGTGGGAATTCGTTTGTTTGTTTTATTCATCCATCGGTTTCTTTACCCACCCATCGGTTTCTTTACCCACCCATCGATCTGTTTATCCCCCCATCGATCTGTTTATCCCCCCATCGATCTGTTTATCCCCCCATCGATCTGTTTATTTATTTTTCCTTTGCACCCATTTTCTTAAATTTGCCACACACCCCTATATATGTTTCTTATGGAGTGAGTACATCATTTCGGACCCCCCTCCTTTATTTGTAGCCATGTGAAACTTCTTCTATCGCAGTGCGCGTGCAGGAACGCACTGCGGCGGGAGGGGCCAAACTGCAGTTGCATGTCACGAAATATGCATAGCCGCACGCGTGTACATATATATGTACATATGTATGCATGTATATATATATGTAAATATATTTATTTATATACGTTTCTGCCCAGACCGTCCACTTTATGGGCACATTGATTTACCCCCTCACTTATAGCTGACTGCATGTTTGCGCCTCCCCTCATCCCCCTGTCATTTGAATCCCCGCCTGCCACACATTTCACCCTCCCCCATTTAGCCTACATATAGAGCATACAATTACGTACAATCTGTAATTCCAACTCCAGCTTCACCTCCCCCCCCCTGTGTGCGCACCCACATGTATATTTCCTACACCTGAAATATATGGTACAATGATTTATTAGCTTCTTTATAATTTTATAAAATATTTATATATATTTAGTGTACAAGTTATAAAATAGGTGTAATACGAATTTTTGAGTTTTGCGTATTTATTATTTAAAAAAAAAAGATAGAAAAAAAGAAGTACTTCTGTTTAGTGATTTATATGTTTCATGTGTTTATTCATTAATTTGTATCTCTGCATTATTTTGTCATAAAATTTTCCCGTTTTTTTTTTCCTTTTTTTTTTTTTACGTATAGGAAAAGGATACAAAACAGGTTGAGACATTTTCAATCGTTTTGTCTTTTCCTAATTATGTGTCCTTACGTGGAGGCCTTTTTAATGTTACACATGAATAGACATTTCCATGCTGTATAATTGTGTGTATATATATCCCAATTCGTGTGTGTACTTTATGCCAACGTGCAATTCGCAGTGCACATGCACGAAGAGGAGGGGTACATCCTCTAAGCGAAGAGTTCATTCCCCGTGTAAATGTGCACAAGCTGTGTAACCCCCTGGGATTCAGATCGACAGATGTCTAATAAGTTGTGTGAGAAAGTCAAGTCAATCAATGTGTGTTACGTGTCTGTATCTACATGTACATATATACAAACGTATCTGGTAATTTTGCCAACTTACCAACACGTGTTTTGTGCGCCTATTTGTATATGCAATATATGCACGTACATGTGTGATAATACCAGCACCTTCGCCCTTCTAACGCCTCCTCATCTACAATAAGCATTCTTGCGTGGGGGCCCATTTGTTTATTCATTGCATCGTGCTTATTGGAGAGAAGAGAAACTGTTTCTTCTCCTTCTCTCTCCTCACGCATTTATTTATAATACATCTGTGCTACACGAAAAACAGTGAATACACTTTTATTTAACAGTTTCTATGCCAAGTGTTGTGGGTACATGCGTTATGTGTTAGCATAGGAGCAGGCATAAACAGAAGCATAAGCACAAGCATATACAAACGTATTTATATGGACATATAGGCAAGCGCATGTACAAACAAAGAAAGAGCTAGCAAAACATACATACCCACGAGGGAAGCCATCAGTTCCGGCCCCACCCCAGCAAAACAATAGACCAAAACCAGAAAGGAAAACAAACCCGCATTTTTTTCAGAGCTCTTTGGAAAATGCCAAACAGTGTTGACTGCGATTTTTTAACCCCACGTGCCCTCCCCCCGTGTAATAATCGTATCATCGCCAGAAACCGCAGCCGTGACGGGGCAAACATCCGCAACATCGGCACGAAAAGCCGAGGCGTGCGCAACTCCGACCAAGTGATTCATACACTATACGTGAAGTACTTCGAAATGGAGACTTACCTAGGCAACATAAATTACCACATGGATTACCTCAATCCTGTTTTGAACCATCCGACGAAAATCGAACATGGGAAGATAAAGATCCTCATTTTGGATGCACCAACCAATGACCTACTCCCATTGTACATAAAAGAAATGAAAAATTACAATGTGACGGACCTAGTGCGGACATGCGAAAGGACTTATAATGACGGGGAAATAACCAGTGCAGGCATAAACGTACACGAGCTGATATTCCCAGATGGCGATGCCCCCACCGTTGACATCGTAAGTAACTGGTTGACCATTGTAAATAATGTAATAAAGAACAACGGCGCAGTCGCAGTTCATTGTGTTGCAGGATTGGGTAGAGCCCCCGTGTTAGCTTCCATTGTGCTCATCGAATTCGGCATGGATCCGATTGACGCAATTGTTTTTATACGGGACAGAAGGAAGGGCGCCATTAACAAGAGGCAACTTCAGTTTCTGAAGGCGTACAAGAAGCAGAAAAAAAAAAAAAACTGCCTCAGGAAATGTCACTTTATGTGAGTAAAACGCGAAATAATCTGTTGGTGTGTACAAAGCCTCCATTTTGGAATAAAAAAAAAAAAAAAAAAAAAGAATTAATGTTATGTGAAAAAAAATATTGTTTCCCATTTTTTTTTTTTTTTTTTTTTTTTTTTTTGTAACGCAATGTATGTGTAAAAGGGTTACAAGAGAGGCCCCCCTGCGTGCACGTATAACTGTGCACCTGTTACGCGTCTACGTAGCAACGCAGCCGGCAACATGTGCGCCTAGGCCTTTTGTCTGGTCCCGCGAATTTTTACCTCCCCGTATGCACCCTCCGTGCATGCGCTTCCACTCTGTTAAAATTTAATTCATACGAAAAGATAGAGGTTGGTTTGTCGCTTTGGGGAAGTGGTTAAGAGGATGGCGCGGTAGGTTGCTTCCCCCCTTGATCTGTTACCGCGCTAGGTTGCTTCCCCCTTTGATCTGATACCGCGCTAGGTTGCTTCTACCGTTGAGCTGCTGTCGCCCGCATTTAGTCCCCCATGAAGTCGTGAATCGCTTTGGGGAAGTACTTATACGCGTAGGAAATGATAATGTCGATAAAGTTAATCTCGCCGACATCCATAAGAAATCGGTACACGGTGTTTTCCGCGTTGAACTCACTTATGAAGGACTCGCCCAACTTTATCAGGTGTGTGCACATGTAGGACTGGAAGAAAGGATCCCCTAATACGTTGGAAATGGTGCCGGAAATCTCATTCAGTATTGTTATAATCAGCTTTAGCAACTTCTTTTTATATCTGGAATGAAAATGCAACTCCACATTTTGTATGGACGAAATGGTGAGATAGGAAATAAAATTCCCAAATAATTTTTTCGAAGTGATATTTTTGGACAATTCATTATTTAAATGTTTAATCATATTTTCTATGAATCGAGCATTACCCGTGTACTTCATATGGATCATGGCAATCATCTGGGAAAGCATTTTCTCGATTTTGTCTTCATCGATCAAGTTAAGAATATTTTTAAGTACTATGGATAAATTCTGAAATTTAAATAGGCATATGTCAAACAGACTGTGTTTGATTGAACAGGTATTGGTGACAGATGTCTTCAACTCATGATCCCTGACTATTAGGAAGAGCATATCCAAGCTCTGGATTACGTTCGTCTTTGCATAGTGTGTTATATACTTGGAGATTATATTTTTTCTGTAAAAGAAGAGACTATTTCGTAGGAAGAAATCGAAACCATGGACGAAAGTGAAGGAAAAGACTCCTCCTTTTAATTTTGAAAACATATTATTCATTCTGATTCCAAAGAGGCCCTCCATGATGCTACTGTCTGAGTTTTTTTTGTGTTCATGTTCAGTGAAATTGTATTCTATGGCTCTCGCAATTGCTAGGGTGTCTGTTGATTGGGTTAATTCCAACTCATTATGGTTCACCTCATCATGGCTGACTTTTTCGTGGTTGATTCTATCATGCTGCACCTCGCCATGCTTCACTTCATCATCCCAACTTGCTCCTTTGAGGCCAACTCTGGGACTGCGAACCGAAGCGCAGTTGTGAGTGCCTCCCGTTCTTGCGCCACCCAGTAGGAATGGCCTCCTCTCTGCGTCCTCATCAGCCATGTAAATAACTTTCCTCCCGTTTTTGTCACAAAATGCATATAACGCATTATTCCAAGGTGGCTTCTTCCCTGGCGTTCCCCTCTTCTTTGAGTTGACAATTCTCCCCTTTGAAGGAGCGACCCTAAAATGCCCATTAAACTCGCAAGGAAGTGCACACCTACCTCGCTTGTCCTTGATTTCGGGAACTATGGGGTAATTGTTCACGCGCATATTGTGGTTATTCCTTTTGTCTAGAGTGAGGCATTTTTTCCTACAGCAACAACAGCATCCACTTCGGTTAACGCGTTTTTTCATTGAACTGATCAAAATCGTGTCTGTGTTTTCCTCCTCAGTATGGCGGTCCATCTTCACCACGTTGGGGTATCCCCTATGGAATTTTCCTCCATCTAGGGCTGTAGACCCATTGGTGCTTTGCAAAAAGGTGTAGCGTTCAGATTTTCCTGGAAGAGTTTTCACCTTTTTAAACTGCTTCAGATGGGGTCCCATTTTCAGAGTGGGTTCCTCATTAATACTTATGATTTCCTTTATCGCTCTGTCGACTTTGTACGATCTGGTGGCACCCAAGAAGACGAACTGTAGGGCAGACTTGATCAAATTAATGACAGTCGATTTTTCACTCATGTGCTTAATAATCTGCATATTGTAGTTAATATCTCTCTGGTTGATAATGTAAAACAAATTATTCTTCTTGTTGTAGGAGAAAAAATACTGTTTGACATTATTAATAAAATTCTCATAAAAGGAGGAATGCTTACTGAGGCTAAAATTAGAAGGGTAATTATTTAAAATGTAAATATAATTTTCAACCATCACTTCTACAAACGCGGTGATTTCTTCCAGATCGTTGGCACTATAGATTTGTTTTTTTTTATTATTCAAAATGACCATCAGTTCGTCTATTTGCTCTTCACGAAATTTGAAAAGGACATTGTCAGGATTCTTCCTGTTGATGTATCGGTATTGTATAGCGCTGTTGTAAATAAACTTTGCAATTTCTTCATGATCCTTATTTAGACTGTCTCTTTTTTCAGGATCCAGTTTGAAACTTTTATATGTCTGGGTTCTGTACATATAAACAGACTTATTGTTGTCAATGCTTCTATTTAGGCTAGTCTCCAGATTCACAAACTGTCTTCTCGTCCTTATGATGTCGGAGAAAGCATAATAAAAGGCGAAAAGCAACAGGTGGTGCACTTTATAAGAGTCAAAGTGGAACAAGGGGGAAGTCTTAATAAAGTGGTGATAAAAATTTTTCTTCTTCAGCTCCTCATTGAGAGCCTTCTTGAATGCTTCCAGGTAGTTATCACTTCTTACGAAGCTATTCAGATTCATCAATTTGATTCCCTTTATGAAGTAGTCAACAAGTTCGTGTTGCACGATTAGCCTCTTGATGCTGTCTATTTGTTCCTTCTCCATCCAGGTGAAGTCAGTGATTTCGTAGGCTTTGAGGGGTGCGCTTCTCGGTGAGGTGATGGATTGCCCCGCGACGGAGGAAGAAGACGAGGTAGACGCCCCGATTGTAGATACCGATGGATACTCCGTAGAAGACCCAGAAGCACTCCATGCCGTGTCCCCCTTGTGGTTATTCCCATTCAGCCCATCACTCTCGACTATAGATGATGTAGAGGCCTTCTCCCCAGAGTCGGCATCATCCGTTTTGCTAAAAATAAAATTGAATAAAGTTTCAAGAGGGTTGGCAAATTTTCCAGCAATTCCGAATTGACTCTTATCCATGTTGTCTAAATTGGATGAGGTGCCATTATCCAGAGTTGTCCATCCCCCAGAGGAGGACGAGGAAGACGATGATCCGTCCCTTCCAGCACCCTGATCGTTCCCCTTCTGACTGTCGTGGATAATTTTCTTGATCTCTTCCACATTAATGTCTAGCAGTTTATAAATCAGGTCTGCATTTTCTGCCACTTGGAGCAGTGACTTTTGAATCTCTGGGTAGTAGCCTATTATAATTAGCACAAAGAACGAGTATACTTTGGTGTTTTCCTCCCCTTCGTTTATATTTTCATTTGAGTTGGATAGAAGTCTATACCCGTAGGCATCATCACTAAATGGTTTGTGGTTAAACATAAGAATGTCCACAGATTCGCTGGGGAAGGGGATGTTCCTAAGGAATACATGCTCATTGTAAAGCAACTCAATTTCGAGATACAAACTGCTGGTCTTATCCAACATGTATTTGATAAACTTTGAGTAATTCTCCTTTTTATATAACAACTTGGTGTATGTATTTCCGACTAGGTTCAATTTCTGTTGAACGCGCAGCGGCTTGAATGGCCTGGTTTCGAACATAAGTTTGTATATCATCACTGTGTAGATATTTTTAAAGAGGACATACACGTTGTAGGCGTTTCCGTTATTTATGCCTTCTTTCTTCAGTTTGTAATAGTTGTTCATAAATTCTTGAAGTACATTGAGGGTTCTATTCAGGATGGTAACTTTACACTTGGCCTCTTTCTTCTTTTCGTATTCTTTCAGCTCATCTCGGTCAGCAAATCCAAAGCATCTAATTTCGGAGTAGTTATTTCCTGTATAGTTATGATTTTTCTTGTAGGAGAAAGTATTATAGAGCATATCGATCCATTCCGTGTTGGGTCTAAATCGTTCATCCCGTTCTTCTAATTCATTTTCAAACATGTTGATGCAGAAGTTTTTGTGATAGTCATCCAGTTCACTTAAATTCTTTGCATTAAAAATGGATTTTTCACATTCGTAGGAAAACATGGCTATATTTTCAATTCTTCTTTTACCTATCGAGTCGTCTAACTCTTTCCCAAATAGTAGGATGTTACTGCCGTAGAAGCCGACTCTCTTTTCGCACTGCTCTATTTCGTTTTCTACTTCCTTCGTGTTTGGCAGCTTGATGGATGTGTCCACCTTGGACGTATCCGTTATGTTAATCTTTTCCTTGCTCTTCAAATTGTATATGAGGGGACATAGTGACTTGATATTTTTCAGCTTGTCCAGATAGAAGCTAGATGAGTGTATGTTCGAATTGTCATTGTAATAATACTTGTAGAAGAACCTATTCATGTTGGATATTTCGACGGTTAGGTCCTCCAGAAAGCTCTGCAATATGTTTTTCTTCTCGAGGGAAGTCTTTAAGCCTCTGTAAAAATCCAACCCTATGAGGCATTCCAATTTTTTCTTAATTATGTAGTGCTTGCTGTCTATGTACACGTATTTCTTTCGAAACAATTTATTTCGATGAAAGACAATATTTTTGTACACGTTGTAGTTCTCTTTCAAATAATCGTTGCTGAGGCTACTCATCTTTTTGAGGTTTCTCAAATTATTGCTTTTGATTATGATGACGGATAGGAGGATAAGTCGGTACTTGAGCAGTGCGTAGTTTTTGTTCATCCTCGTTTTTATGAAATAATTCTCTTCTTCTGTCAGAGGATAGATCTTACTGAAGTAGGTAGCATAATCAGTGAAGAATTTCTCCTTTTTACTCTTCCTCCTGATTTGTTCTACATCCGTTTCGGAAATCAAATCGGATGTGAAATTCGACACGGTTGTCTCTGCAGGTTCGTTACCCTTCGAATGGTCCCTCACCGCTCCCGTTCCATCCTCATTTATTTCGATTTCCCCCCCTTCGCCCCCTTCAGGAGGTCTAAACACATTAAGCAGATTTTTTATGTCCACATTTGTTTCACATAAAATTTCGCTATTATGGTTTTTTAGTTTGAGTGGGTTAAGTGACTTCACCGCTAGGATGGCTTCCACTCCCTGCTTCTTGTGTTCTTTGTACCAAGTGAATTTTATATACTCCTGGAAAGGATGCTCCGAGTCGTTTCCGTGGGCACTTTCCTGCTCCATTTCATCCTCCTCGTCATCTTCTTCATCATCGCTTTTGTCCTCTTTGAGACGCTTATCTGAGGTGAGGCTTCCACTCTGGCGGTTTTCCTTCCCTGACTGGGGGTCCTTTGTGGGTTCCTTCACCTTCTCAGCATCGACCCTCGACTTGATATACGAGACGTTTTTAATTTCATGCTTAAAGCGAAAAATATGCTTCAAAAGGAACGTCAGCTGGCTGTACATCCTCATCTTCTGTGCTATAATATCCCTGACGTTACTTTTTTTGATGAAATAATCTAGCTTCTGTAAGGCTTGCACATTGGAGACGTATTTGATATCCACCTCGTAGTAGGTGTTTATGTTGTAATTCCCGAGCTCCAGAACCAACTTGATGTTTTCATTACTCCCTTTCATGTTTTCTATGGTGACGCTAAAAATGTTGGAGGTCCACTTGCTTGAGTGGAAATATTCAAATTCTAGGAGCTTATTTATTATTTCTTTCTCTGTTAAGTATTTCAGCACATCTTTAATTCTCCCTATGTTATCCTTCGAATCGTCTTTTTTTTCTTCCTCCCTTGGTTTACTCTTCACTTTATCCTTCATTTTTTTAATTCCGTTTCTAACATTTTTAAGCGTGTTTTTGAATGTGTTCCTTAATGAACGTTTTTTTTTGCTAGTTTGGTTCATTTTGAGCGACACTTTGTCATTCCTAAAGGGGGTGGAATCCCTTGCATTGGTGTCGTTTTCTCTATCCTTGACACTTCTATCAGTGGTGTCATTTCTTCCTCTTTTTTCACTTCCTCTGAGTCCTTCTACCTGTTGAGATTGTTCCAATTTGACTCCCTTTGATTTAGTGTTCTTACGTCCTTCATTGGTCTCTCCCGTTGTGTCACTTCCGATGATGTTGAATGGATATTTGTACATTTCATTCGGGTCTCTCTTGTCCTTCTCGTTTTCCTCATTCTCCTCCTCGTTTTCCTTGACCATTTTGCTTGTATTGATTGAATCAACGTCGGAAAAGATTCTATTGAGGTAATTCGAAATATCGTAGGTTCGATAAAACGGGACCAACTCAGCATGGTAACAGAGAAATACGTTTTTGTCCCTACGCCCTTCGCTATTAATAATTAGGAAGCACAATTCGTTGTTCTCTCTAAAAATGTTAAAATCGGCAATTGCTTTTTTATATTTCCTATTTCTCAGGGTTTTCTTATTATCATGTCCAATGTTCACTTTGAACTGGAGCATGCATTTTAATCCTTTCACTTTTGCTATCAATAACATTTCGTGTGTATACCCATAAGTTTGTGCACTCTTGTCATTTATCTTCTTCATCGACACGGTTCGCATCCTGTGCGTCCAATTGTGGCTATACAGGGAGCTGCATATTTTGGTTTTATTTTCTCCAATGTTGGAATTACTGTCAAAGGAATGGAGGAAGATTTTCTCCAAGCAGCTGAGCGTCCTGTACCTATTCGATTCGATAAGGTAGTAATCTTTAACCATGTTGGTGGTTTTTTTTTCCAAGAAGGACGCGTCGGAGATGTTTTTCGTATGTCCACTCAGAAGGTTTGTGAATGATTCGTTCGGCTTCTTTTCATCGTGGATCTTTTCTCTTTTCTGGTGTCCCCCTTTCCTCCGTGTTATTGGTCCAGGTTCACCTGTCTTATTTTGCTGCCCCTTCTCCGACTCGGCACTTGGAGTCCATTTCGTGTTGGTAAAAAGGTGGCTAAACCCATGATTGGAGGGGTTCCCCAAAAGGGGCTTATCCTGTGGGGAGAAATTAACTAGGTGTTTAGCATCTCGCTTCCGTGTGGATCCATCCCCGGCGTGTGTCTTTTCCCCGGGGAGGTGATTTCCCAAGGGGGAGCTAACAGTGTCAAACCGGTTTCCCCTCCCGTGGAGTATCCTTTTATTCTTCTGCTCCAAATGTAAGGTTCTCTTCTCAAGAAAGGACGGCCTCTTCACCTTAGAAGCAACCTTTAAAGAGGTCTTTTTACTCGGTTTCTTCAACCCGGATTGAAGAGCATGATTTGAGGCATACAACTGGTGGTACTTATTATATAAGGTGTCTAGGAGCTCCGCCCCTGAAATCTTCACATTTTTCCTGCTTGAGAAATACTCCTTATGTTTAGTGATGGTAGAAATTCTAAGTTCAATCATAAAATCTTCGTCTTGCACAAAAGCTATAACATTTTGGTAAATGGGGATGAGGCTCTCTTCATCTCTGAAGGAAATGAACTCCAGCAAACCGATTCTCTGCATCTCTATTTGAGTAATCTTTTCAATCAATTCTGATGAGAAAGGTAAAAAGTTGTTTAAAATTTTCGTGGTGTAATATTTAATGTAAGTCAAGAATTTCGTTCCAATACTGTCGTACAGGTGCTGGAAGAAATTAATATATGTCCCAAAGTTTAGGAGGAAGAATCCTTTAAATTTTATCAAAATTTCTTCAATTTTCTCTTCATTATTTTTTATAAATTCTACTATGAATGGATACTTCATAAGGAAGTCTAATATGGCCTTGAAGTAGAATTGCTCTACTAAGTTATGGAGAAGGAAAAACAGGTTGGAAAACATCCTGCGGTAATCTATGCTCTCCAAGACGTCTTGGACGAAGCCGTTCTCATGCAGGAAATGCAAATATGTGAGCATCATCGTGACGGTTTCTGTTAACTTGTCTAGGGATATGTTAAGTTTTATTAAGATAAACTTTATGACGTCGAAGCTTCCCCGCAGAAGTCCCTCAGTCATGATTATCTTGAAAATTTCGTCCTTAATATTCCCCATCTTTAATATGTTGTATATTACCGAGGCGAGCACATTAACCAGACGTACATTCAGCCCTGAATTCACGAAGAATTGGAGGATCTTAAAAATGGGTGCAGTAGAATAATAATTCACATACTTTGTCGGAACTAGGGATCTTATCAGAATGTTATGAACTTTTACATGCTTAATGTCTCTTCTCCACATGTCGTAGTTAAATATAGATTCGACGTATTCCTTAGTTATGAGGGAATCTCCAGATATGAATATACCCCTGGCCATTAGCTCCTCAAAAAGGATGTTTGTAATTCGGTAGCTTTTGTACTTGTTAAATGTTTGCTCATCAATTGATTCTACTAGTCGGTGGAATATTACAATAGCGTTAAACAAGTTGTACACGTCTTCCTTTTTCAGCAGTGAGAGGTACTTCAAATCCTTTTTGTAATTCTTCAGCTTGGAGTAGACATCTTCAAAATGAATGCCGTTCCCGTTGACACATATTTCGGTGTTGAAAAATTTCCACACGATGGATATAGCGTACTGTTCTCTGTTTACGATCATGGCGTCCAGATCCTTCTCCGTCGTGCTGATAACCATTACGTCAAATAGGAGGTCCTTATATTCGCTATAGGTTAGCTTGTTATTGCTGAGGGCTTTTATGTCCTTCTCCTCGATGTACAACTTATGGTCTTTGAGTCTCTTCGCCAGAATTTCTTCGGTGAAATATTTCGCCCCATGTTTCCAAAAGGGGAATTCCTTCAAAACTTTAAAGTAAACCAATTCGTTCTTCTTAAAATAGTCAACCTGAATTTTCGACGCAATGGAATACCACTCTTCGTAGTCTAACTCTTCATTGGATAGCTTCTGCAAATTCTTCGTGTAATTTGAAATTTTAATATTTTTCTTTTCCAACTCATTGAAATACTTCCTGGTCAATTCAGTCGCTCCCAATTCGTTAAAGTCGTACTTTAGGCAGCAATCGTGAATGATATGCACCTTATTGATCGTTTCGTGGTCAACGGTGATCTTCTCCGATTTGTAGACAATGTGGTTGATGATGTTGTCTAGGTTTATCTCGATGTATTTCATTATGTTGGAAATTATCTTGATGTGTTCGCATAGGATGACCGATTCGAGACTTTTCAAGTTCTGTATGTAGCTCCTTTTGTGCATATTTTCGATCAAATTGAAGGACATGTCTATCTGCTTGTTCTGGGAGTCTATTTCTACCTTTATCATATTGAGGAGGAAGTCCAGAACCCGAAGGAATGAGCTGGGCTGGTACTTCTTGTGCTTATGTTTTTCAAATATATTCGTGTAAAACTTCTTAATTTCGAATCCGAAAATGTTGTAATTGTCTTTCTCAATGAAATTTATAATATTGTTGACGGATTGCTTGACGAGTGTGTTTGGTGAGTTGAAGATGTCCTCGAAGGTGAAATCCACGTTGAGCTGCAGCTTGGAGTCCAGCACTGATATGAAATAATCCATAAGCTTCAGAAATTTCACAAAATTTTCGTAGTATATAAAGTATTTAAAGTTTAGGATGTCTTCCCTTATGGATACGAGCAAGCTATATATGTGCATTTTATGGTGCAAAAAAAGATTTATCTTTTGTTTGATAATTTCAAAATAGGTTTTGTAGTAATTGTCCGAGTTTGTCGTATTTTTGATGGATTCATCTAGAATAAGCACACCCTCTGACACTCTGGAGTATAAGGGAGAGAGTGACCGTTCATTATGTGCGGCATCATTTTCGTTCCTTATCAATGTGTTCCTTATTATGCTCAAGATGTTCATGTGTATGAAGTAGGTAGGTAGGACGAGGAACATTTCCCCGTCTTGCACCAAAATTTGAATGCTAAACTTCATAGCGCTATCGTCCAGGTACTTATACAAACGAATGTCTTTGTCATTCATGTAGAGGACACTTATAGAGCTCCTAAAGTGGTTTGAAAGGATTGGTATGAGCCAAATCATATTTTGGTTAAAGGGATTTTTCCTAAGGTACTTCTTCACCGTCTCCTCTGCAGATTCGTCCTTTTCGAGGAAGCACGGCTTACCATCTGAGCACTTAAACACGGTGTAAAAAAAATCGTACGTATTTTTCATTACATAGTCTAGGTAATACTCATGCACGGTGGAGGATGTTGTACTGTTGTTCAGTTTGTCTGTGCTGCCGTCACCAGATTGGGCTTTGTTCCAGTCTAACGGATCAATGTTTACACTCTCCCTTAATAGAATAATTTCGGCAAACTGTCTCTTCTTGTTCTTACTTAGATTTATTTCTTTACCCTTCAAGAACTTCTTCGTTTTGTAAAAAAATCTCATGTACACATTCATGATAACGTGCATGATCAGGTTTATGGTCTCTGTAAGTTCGTTCACGTAGAACAAGTTAAAAAGCTTCCTCAGCGTGATGACGTTGCTGGAGGAGACTGAGGAGTGCAGCCCTAATTTCAGCTCGTTAAACTTCTGTATGTAGGAATAACCCAACCCTATGAGCGAAATGAAGGAGTAAGACTTCATATGATCCGATGGAATGGAAAATTTGTACTGCTCTATATCTGTCAATATTTGGTCTTTCACCTTCTCGTCAATTTTGAACTCTTCGATTTTGTTCCCAAAAGTGTTATACGTTACTTTTTTTTTTTTTTTTAAAAAATTAGGAATGAATTTCTCAAAATCAAATGGTAGTGTATCCCCTTTTTTCTTTTTAAAAACTTGTATATCATTTTCCAGTTCCTGTTTCACTAGCGTCTTTTTCGATAATATGTTGTCTAGCTTTTTTATCATATAACTTAGCGCAGAAACGAATATTGGCAGTTTGCTGTAACCTTCTTCATCACTTGCATCCTTTCTCACCTCCGAGAGGGAGGATTTAAACCATTGTAGGAGCCCTTTATCACAGAGAAACAGGTCGTTCAATAAGTTGTCTAAATCGCTGTAGGGGCCAAATCCGAAGAGAGAAAATACCTCCAGGTACAGCAGGTGCAGGTAGTTATTCTTAACTCTCTTGCTTCCGTGCTTGACCATGTCTAGATCGATTAAATTTCTTAAAATCCGCTTCTTCGTGTTGTACACGTCGTTTCGCTTTACCAGGGTCATAATCATTTCCTGTATGTTCGTGTAGTTCATTTCCGTGTTTTTCCTCCGGATGGCCATGTGGATGTCCTCCGACGACGTGCTGGGACTCTCCCTGTACTCCATCTCCAGCGCCTCCAGGTAGTTCTTCACCTTCGCCAGCTCTTCGTAGTATATGTGGAACGTGGCTGCAGTGGAGAAGTCGAGAAGTGGTGTAAGCGGTATTAGCGGCGTAAGAGATGCGCAGAAGGTAGCAAAATCATGGAACAAATGTGGAAAGAACATATGAAAACGCGAAAGGGAGAAATCCTCATTAATACTCTCATTAACACCCTCGTTAAGACCCTCGTTCACACCCTCGTTGGCGCTTTTGTTGACGCCCTCACGAAGGCTGCCCGATCCTTCACCTACAGATGTCCCGCAAGTGCTGCATTTCGTGGCTGAAGAGAGAGCTGCTCTGGTTGTAAACTTTAAAGGTGTGTCCTTCCTTGAGGATGATGACTTTACTGCTGCCTTTTTTTCTGGCGGGATTAAACGAGTAGACGTCGTAGCCTCCCTTCATATTGTCCGACATGTAGATGATTCTCTCCTTAAAGTGCTGACTAAGGATCTCCGTAAGGTGCAGTAAGGCATTCTTGGAGTAGTAAAAAATGGAAATCTTCTCTTTCATATTCAGGACATTGTTAATTTGAAACATGAGCTTACTCGAAATGTCGTTCTTTTTCACGTCCATCAGTGAAAACATGGAATCGAACTTTTCCGTCTTATCAAAAACGCTGTGTAGCTCGTATGCCAGTATATTTAACATAGAATGTGTTAGAGTGTTCAGGTGTAGGTAGCTATTATTCTGTTTAGCACACATTTTTATGTCCTCTACGTTAAAGTTAAATTTCATTTTAATGTTTGACAGATACGATTTCATGTTCTGGAAGCTGTGTTTGTAAAGCCACTGGTCTCTTATACAGAGGTACAGATTGGTGCTTCCCTTTCCATTCATCACTGGCTTTTTGATTCCGATTTTTATTTCGCTGTATTTCAGCATGAAGTCGACCAGCTTGTGTATGCGGCTGCTTTCCAAGTAGTACCTCAGAAACCTCTGCAGATTTACGATCCACAGTTTGTTGTAGCTCTCCTCGGGTACTACAGTGGGGTAAAGTGGAAAGCAGCGTAAGAAGGGGAAGCAGCGTAAGAGGGGGAATCATCGTACGATGGGGAATCATATTAAGAAGGATAAAATGTTGTACGAAGTGGTTAGAAGTGGACAAGCACTTCTGAGTGAGGCGACCTTGCGAGGTGCCTCGAGGGCAGCGAAATTGGACTGCCCCCACACACCAAGGGATGCGCACACAAATGACACTAATAACGATTTAGACGTAGCAGATTGGTAATTCCAAGAGTAAAAGACACGTCCCTTCGTGCTTATGCATGTGTTGTTCAACGCGTGGGGACTCCCCGAGTGACCTAAATTGTTCGCTCCTTTTTTTTTTCTTTTGCGGCTTTTCCACCTTACCGTTTCGCCCCCAGAGCTTGCTCCGCTGAACAAAGGACTTATTGATGGATCCTTGTTGAGAAAACTCGAAAATGTGGTCGAACAGCTTTTCATTGTATTCCTTCGGAATGTCAAAAGCGTGGTACAGCAAGCTTATCTTCTTCACCCGTTCAATCACCTTGGACATGCTGTTATTTTGTTCGTTACTCTTCTCTTGGGAACACATCAGGTGAGAACAGGTGTAGTCAGAGTAGGAGTAATCTATCAAGTCAAGGAAAAATATCTGATCAAAATCTTTTACCTTTCCGTAGGATATATCTATGGGGAAGTTGTACGTAATTGGTCCCTCAAAAAGAAAAAAGGATTTTCTTTTTTTTAAATTTCCTATAAATTTGGACGACAATCTTTTACTCTCTTCATATATAAACCTTTTATAATTTATGAATAAATTTTTCATTTTTTTTAGCAGCGTCTCCTTAATGGTATTTTTTATATCGTCCCCTATGATGTCGTAGTAGTAGTTCTCGTAACTTTCAAATATGTTCTTCACCACGTCTATCATTTCTTCAATGTGAAGTTTTATCACCTTCTCCTTGTCTATTAGCTCTTCCAGTTGTTCTACTGTGTCTATTTTGTTAAGCACTTTATGAAAAAAGGCCACTATGTTTATTATATCCATTAGGTCCAGGATAAGTATTTCTGTGTGTACTTCTGGGACACCTTGGGCCAGGACGTTGCTTAGGTCCTCCACCTTGAGGCGGTAGAAGATTAGGGACATCGTGTCCAACACCTCGATGAATTTTTCGTTTCCTGGGCAGTGGGTGGGGAGCAAAAAAAAAAAAAAAAATAAAAGCGGGGATTAGCGTATCATACCTGGTGAATACGAACAGGGTGGAGCAAGTGCTCCAGGTAGATTCTTCCTACGGAACGGAGTGCATACACACTATGTACGACAATCTGGAAGATGCACCATCTTATGCCAATGGAGGAGGCTCCCCCTTATTACCACTTTTCAGATCCTTCAACAGAGTTAGCGCATTGGCTATTTTCTCGCTGTAGAGTTTATATTTAAACATGATTTCCTCCAGGGCATACAGTTCGGACTGCGTCTTGTAGGTGGACACGGTTTCCTTCAGGATGTGCATCTTGATAAGGTTGTACACGAATGAGAGGTGGTACCTTATTTCATTCTCGTTCGCTAGGCGGTCAACGTCTCGCTTCATTCCCTCTAGGTAGAGGAGCAGCGCCCCGAGGACTGCGGATGGGGGGAAGAAATGGTCATGAATGGCGGCCATGGAGTGCAGTCATGGAGGAGTGCCATGACGAGGGGCCATGCGCAAAAGTAGCGAGGCGTAGGCCAGTTCCCAAGCTAGGCCGATCAGACAAAGGGGAAATAATCGGTGTGCTATGCAAAATGGGGCAATTTCAATAAGTTTTCTACTCTCCCCAGTTGCACTTACGTATCTTTTCGTTATTATAAAAATCACTGAATACATTCTCGTAGGACTGCCTATTGGAGATGAAGGCGCTATTCTTAAAATTGGTACTGTTGCTGTAGAAGTTATAAACGATGGAGTTCATTTTATTTGTGAAAGAGAAAAAAACTTCATCCTTCTTTATACAATCCTTGACTGATTTCATATCATATAATTTTCCACATATGATGGCTGTAATGAGGGCTGGCAAATCGTTAATGTTGCTGGCGTTTTCGTTTCTGTAGATGGTGAGAAAGGAATACTTCTCTGTTTCCTTCTTGTCGTTTATATTGTAGTGTATGCTTCCGTGGTCTATTGATTCGAGGAGGGAGGAGATACTTTTCTTGACTAGCGAGAGTTTCGTTTCGCCCTCAAAGTCAGATTCGGTCCATTGGTTGGCGCTGAAGATGGATTTGTCTGCGCGTTGAGGAAGGAAAAAAGGCGTTCGTGAGGAACTCCGATGAAGGGGCCAAGCAGTGTACACCCATCTGAGAACACGAGAAATAGAGCAGGCTACACCCACATGAGGACAGGAGAAGCACAGGACGCTACGCCCACCCCGACTTACCAATACTCTTAATCGTGTAAAAATGGAGGCCGAACCCCGCGTGAATCTTGTTCTTGTTATCCAAGCTGCTGGTCAAAATTTTGGTCCCGCAGTTATTCGTGAAGACGTAGAAGTACCCGTTGTGCCCACGGGCAATGTGCAGGGGGTCCACTTTTAACAAAGAGGTGTTCTCAACATCGAAAGCCTTATTCTGGTTAATGTAGTGCACATTCCGCCTCAACCGTATAACTAACAAATAAATCATAAACGCATCTGTGAACCCAAAATAGTTTAACAGATTCAGATGATTCTCATCTCTGTTCGTCATAACTAGCGAATGATACATGCTTGAAAGGAGGCGCAGTTCCGGAACTCCAAATATGTCGAGAACTTTGCACAAATAATTTGTGTAATGGAACCACACCGTGGTGAAGACAGAATAAAGCTTCGTCTCAATTTTGCTAATCACATTTTGACTTGTGTTCAAATTGAAGAAGGATAAAATCCTTTTTTTATTTAGGAAAATATTACGCAAGTGGAACAAGTGGTCATTTAAATCACTCATATTGACATTTAAAATGCTCTGCAGATTGTCTATCTCGTAGGAAGACATGATCCTGATGATAGCATTCTTCATTTGAATTGAATCGAAGAAGGCCGATTCGAATATATTCTTCAAATTTGCCTCATTAAGGAACAATACCTTTTTGCTAAAAACACTGTACTTTGTTTGTAGCAAGTCGTTCTTTAGTTCCTTGACACTTTTTAATTTTTCTTTTTCCATGATTTTTTTCTTCCTGCATAGGATCCTGAGGTACCATGCGTCGTTGCTTATTTCTTTATTGTTGCGCTCGTGATTTTCCTGTTCATTTGTGGTTTCATTATTTATTTCGCTTCGCAGGTTGGGTATGTTAAGGATGGAAAATTTGTCCATGCCTTCCCACTTTATGTCATTTCTGAAATCATATGGATCTTCCCCTTCTGAAGAGCTGCCTAGACTGTTGCTCATTCTGCGATTTCCGGACACGTTCGACATAGAATAAAACTTACTATTTGTCTTATCTCCGAATGGTTCCTCCTTCACTTCTTCGTAAAGACTGTTCATTGATGAGCTCGGCGTTAAGTACTGGAGCTTTTCAGATTCTGTTTTTCCCTCAGGGGAGGAAGACGCGATACATGAGGCGTACGAAGGAGAGTTGCCTCCCGCGTGGGAACTTCCTCCTGCATGGTCTTCACCCGATTTTGGCAAACTCCACGTGGATAAGTACTGCTCATCTTGTTCGAGTCCCCGATTCGACCCGACCTCTGTTGCACTGCCGTTCGCCCCATCGACCATAGTAGTAGTAGACAAATCGGACGGCAAATGAGACGGCGAATCGGTCGTCCACTCCTTCGACAAATTAGGAACAGATCTGAATGATGTGTTGCTCAAATTTGAAGTGGATCCATCTGAAGTGGAATCAGACATGTTGTCAATGGAGTTACTTTGTGGGATGCTTGACAAGGGGGGCAAGTTGGGGAAGGCTGTCCCATGCGACTCTCCATATGGAGAAAACATCTTTTCCATGTCCGGATGGGATGCTTTATACGTGGAAGAATGGAGAGAAGACATCATTTTGAAATTCATTTCTTCTGAGGATACATTCGGCCTGGCAGTTGCCTTTAAGTTGGTAACATCCCTATCGGGGGGTGCACTAATGTTAGAGATTGAGTCGTATAGGTGCTTCAACTTGGGGTTTTCATAAAATTGATTGTAGGATACATTTTCCATCGAACCTCTATACAAGTTATCTTCTTCCGATTCTGGCTGATCCAAATGAGGGAAGTTCAATCCGACATCGTTGTAGTATGTTTTTTTTTTCTTTTCATTTCCGCTCTCATCCTCAGAATCGCTGTCTTGTAACTCCTCGTCGTCCAGCTCCACATCCTCACAGTATTCATCGAGGTAGTTGATTATTTCCAGTGAAAATAGGAGACTTAGGTTTGTCAAATTGCCCTTAATCATGTTAAGCAGCAACAGGTATATGTCATTCTCCGTGATTTTGTTTCGACCATCGTACTTGGCTAGAATGTCCCCTACTGATTTGTAGTAACTGCTCCTTGTCTTTTCCTTTTTCTTCAAAGTTTGATGAAATTCCTCTTTAATGCACTTTGTAATTTCTTCATTCTCCTGGGAGGTCACGGAGGAAATTTTCACGCCTTCGATTGGGTTAGGGGAAATAAAAAAAAAAAATGCATGACGCGGAATGGGGCAAATGCCAAATGAGGGATGAAAATTGGCACGGTCACCCAGAGATCACGCACACCTCAGATGTACAACTCTATTCTGCGTGACCTCTACGCGACGACTTACTTTCGTTCATAAGGCTGTACTTATTGTCGGAGTAATTCATCGACGCACCATCCGCATTTATCGTGGTGATTTCAAAATTGTGGAGGTGCTCAAAGATGGGGAAGTCCTCGTGCACCAACAGGTACGTAACATCGTCAAAGAGTCTATGCGGTATCAGCGTGCCGGAGTAATATTTGGTAGAAACAAGCTGAATAAATTTATCGGGGAGGGTGTTTATGCGGATGGATATAAGAATCCCATTTTCGTTTAAAATGGTAACCTTGGAGTTGTGCACCTTCGATATGATGAGAGTTATAAAGGTGTCAAAAAAATGGTGTATGTTTAAGAAGTAATTTGCGTGATCATTGTGAATTATTTTGGGATTATTTTTGCATATAACATCGTCTAGGTATCTGAAAATCACATTTTTGAATTCGTCCCCTATTATGGACAGCACGTGCGAATTGTATGACTTAAAATATTGGTGCAGATTCTTTAGACACATCCAGTAGGTCATCAAAAAGGATTCATTAATCACTTCTTCACTTCCACTAAAAAAGGGTTTCAGCAATATGTGGGGCTTGGGAGAATTTAATATATCATCAAATTTTTTAAGCACGGATTTGTGATCTACCTTTATTTTGGACGTGTCAATTTGAATTAGACTGAGAATAATTTCGTTGGCCTCCGGATCATCAATTGAGTAGATGTTAAAAAATTTTCTGAATTTATTAGCCATGTTAATTTTGTTGAAGCAGAGCAAAGCATCTTCATTTTTCTCTGATTTTTCTTGTTGTAGAAATTCGTCATACAATTTGTCCACCAGACTTTTTTTAAATTTCTCTTCCTTGACTTTCCCTTCATCTGTGATCATGTCACTTTTGGTGAGCAACAGATACTTCACCTCTTTTATTAGGAGCTCGTTTATCTCCATTAGCGATTTGTCTATGTTAAGGTACGTCTCTGTGTACAGCTTCTCAACAAAGCTGGAACAGGTGTTGGTAAACTTTTCATATACATTTTCCTTGCACTTTCTGAATTCCCTCAATTTGGATACGAAGTTCGTGACGCTGTTCTTTGTGCTTATTTCTTGTATTATGTTTATTTTCTCGTTGAAGAGAGATTTGTGCAAATGTAAAAATCCTCCGTAGGAATACCTCCGGATTAGCACGTTTCCCTGGGGTTCTTCTCATGGTGCGATGGGCGGGGAGGAGTGGTTTATGTGTTTGTTTGTGGTGCAACGTGCAGTGTGCGAAGCGGAGTGTGCAACGTGTGTAATGGCGCGCTATACAAATGTTCTTGCGTGCGCGCCCCTCTCTGGCGGGACGCCTTCTCAACGCTAGACGCACGCAGATCGGTGTGTCCTCCATTTGGTCCTATACCTCTGCTATCCTTGAACAGCTGCATCCGGGAGAAGGACTAGTTGCAAAAAGGAAAAAACAAAAAAAGAAAATTAAGATATTTATGTATTTCTACCGTTATGTATTTCTACTGTTGTGTATATCACCGCCGTGCACTGTACTGGTGCAATTCTATTGCCCATCTGCGTCTCGGGCGAGTCGCCAATAGCATTACCTTTTTTAAAAACGAATTCCTCCGGGAAGTATCACTGCAGTATACATCTGCGGAGGGAGAAGTGTGGCAAAAATTATGCATACTGACAAGTTCGCAGAGGTATGTATGTGTCGTGGTGTAGGTCCGAGGGGAGATGTTACATTCGCCCCCAACCCTTGTCCTCAGACAACACAAGAGCACGGATCCTCGATGGGTGCCAAATAACTCTGATTACTTTTTAGAAGTATGGAGGAAAAAAAGATCAACTTGAAGATGATTATTTTGTGATTTATTAGAAACATTTTTAAATACTGTCGATTAATTAAATGGTTCTGCGAGTTAGTTTGGCCAAGCGGAGCAAACTAAATGAATACAATTAATTAAGTGGGGAATCGAAGTGGATGCAGCGAGAAGGCATTGAACGGCCTGCGCAGAGCTCCACTCACCAGCATTATTCCGCACTACGTGAGCCGCACGGGCGTCTACAAATGTACAGGTGAACATATTCACACACGTACATACACACAAACATGTGTCTAAGGTTGAAACTAATAAAAACTAATTATTAAACATAAGATGAAACAAAGAGAAAATTATTCCATAGTTGTTGGGGACAAAGGAAGAGAAGGAAGCAGAAACAAACGAATCAGTTAGCAAGATGCATTTGTTCATATTCAAAAATATCAATAGACCCAACAGTTGATAAAAACTACTAATTTGAATAAATACTACCCTTCATGGAGTCACACAAGAAAGGAAGAAATAGGGAAAGAAAGCAAAAAAAAACAAAAACAAATTCCAATTTTGGAGAGAGGAGACATTCATAATGACCCTTTTAATTAAACACAAGGGCACACATAGACAAATACGCTTTAAATTAATGAACATGGATGAGGTTCATTATTGCCCAATTCGCTGTGCATGGTTGCCACTGCGGTTGGATAAGGGGAGTATAGCCTCCAAAACGTGGGAAGTGAGGAGAAAGAAAAAATTACGCCAGCTGCCGCATGACGCAAATACTTCTTCACTAGACAACACGTGTAACCATCGCAACAAAAAGAATAAAATAAAATAAAAAAAAAAAAAAAAAAAAAAAAAAAAAAAAAAAAAAAAAAAAAAAAAAAAAAAAAAAAAAAAAAAAAAAAAAAAAAAAAAAAAAAAAAAAAAAAAAAAAAAAAATAGTTTCTCCTTTTACCACTATCCCAATTTCTCATTGTCCTTAACAAATTACACATTAGAGTTGAGTGTAACAGTTGACTGGCCAACGTTCGTAATCAATTCTGCGCACACACAGTACTCTATTTTGTTTATGGTTACAAATTATGTATATGCACTCCCATGCATATGGGAAAAAATAATGATGTTTTTTCATCCACATTTTTAGGGAAAAAAAAAATTCAGCACAATATTTTTATGATCATCGAATTCGTCTTTTTTCTGATTGTCTCCTTGGCAAATATGTCACTTGTTCTTTGCGTCTTTTTTTTCGCGAATGTCTATATCTGCCTCTGGCATAGTCGATTCATCTCCATATGGTCTCATTCCAAACTTTAGTGAACAAATGGATGTTAAAAAAAAAAAAAAAAGAAGGGAAAATTTACACTGCACTTGCAGGTAAAGCCATTTTGTTATGCCTCATCTGGTAAAAGGTGTAAACATAAGGGAAAAAAGTTATTGAGGCCGGAAAATGAAACCGTAAGAGGCCACATTTCTCCATTTCAGCTTAACATGATAGACGTCATCGCAGTTGGAGCGATTATACAAATAAGACGCAAATGTCTTTTCTGATTAACAGCAACTGGAAAGCTTCTAAGGTGAAGAATTTTGCAAAAAATTTGCATTAATTTTGCGCAAAAAAAAAAAAAAAATAAGTTCAGGGGAACTTTGCGGGAAGGGAGATTGTACGAGGCGAGGTTTACGCAATGAAACAGACGCTTCGGCGTCAAATATGCGAGCGCGTATGTTTGTAGACGTGCCCTTTACTTTCCACTTAACTGCCAACATTATTGCCAACTTTACGCCATTTTTATGGCCCATTTTATCGCCCATTCTTCACTCAATTCGCTTTTATCTAACCATGTCATAACACTTTAACCCTTTCTGAAAACAAAAAAGGGCTGGAAAAATGGAAAAGTTTAAGGATCAAAATGCAGAGGACATAGACATCTCCGCGTCCATCAATAAAAACCTGGACATACCTTTATTGATAAAGAAGAAATTACATTTGAGGGTAAACTCACTGGAAAAATGGATCCCACGAAAAACAGGCATTTCCAGCAGTAACTGCGTGGGGATGCGTGCTCCTCTTCGTAGGATTTAAGGCGCAAAAATAAAGACCTGAGCAGAAAGCATGCGGATATTAAGAAGGTTCTCCACGAGAAGGAGAGTTACTTCAGGTTCGCTTCGGCAGATATGTGTGAGCCTGTGGCCGCCGGCATGTACTTATATGTGTATGTATGTTGCTTCGTATCTGCCTGTTTGTATGCACCTGCAGGGGCATCTTAGGCACACGTTCGGCCCTGCTCAACGTGTAACAATTGGAAATACCCACGAGGCATAATTGCCCAACGCCGCCTCCTTCGATTTGCAAATCACTCTAACCAGCTTTAAAGAAAAGGTGCACAATGAAAGCCGGGAAAAATTGATAAAGGAGTACCAAATGGCTACGAAGGTGGGGAAAAAAAAGAACATACGAACGAATGGTCGCAAATGGGGCAAACTGGCGGAACAAAAAAGGTGCAAACGAATTGTCCCTCACACACATTCCCGCGCAGGATAACTACGACAGACAAGTAATTCTGGAGGAGAAAATAAAAAACAAGGAGAAAAAAATAAAAATGTACGATTTGGAGATAAACAAGTTTAAGGTGGCCATTGCGGACATGCACGAGCGGATAAAGAAGGCAGACCACGACATCGTGGAGAGTAAGAAGAGGCTGCCGCGCTTTGCGAAAGGAAACATAAAAGGCTCTAAACGGATAAAAAGCCAAACATGAACGAAATGGAACTAAACGGCATGAAAAAATCCCCCATCAGCACCCCTGAAGCGTACTCCTTCCCGTGCCCCGATGAGGCGTTAGCCCAATCTCGCACAACAAATGAATGACACCCTACAATATACACACACTTTACACACATGTGACAACCGTTCAGGGGAAAAATGCCTCAGCTTTTTGAGCAAATTTAAAGAAAATTCAGCCGAGTTCGTCCAGGTGGATATGTTCGACAGGCTAGAAACAATATTCAGCTCGCGCGAGTTTATAAAAAAGAAAAAGGAAAGTCTTAAGGCAAAGATAAATATCATAAAGGCTAAGATAAAAGACACGGAGGAAAAATATAACTTAGCCCTAATGGTACGGAATTCCTCTTCTCTTTGTTGTTCTTTTTTTTTCTTTCTTTTTTCCTATCCTTGTTGGTTGGCACCTTCCTCTATGATGTCATTACCCCCACGCAGGATAAAGAAAAAGAATACAAAAATCTCGTAGAGACCTCAGAAGGCGTATTAAAAAGGGAAAAGGAGATAGCGGAACAGCTCAAGGAAAAAATAAATGAACACAATAAAAATGCACTGCTTCTGTATAAGATAATTTCATGTGTCGATAATTTTCTAAGTCGTTTTTCATCATTCCTACCGGAGCTGCGTCATTACAACATTAAAAAGGACGAAGAAAAAAAGTACTGACAAGGAAACGCCTATTAAAAGTTACCCCAATAGGGGCGCATATCAGACAGCACTCTATATGTTTCCTCTACTGTATATCATTTCGCTGCTTAGCAATTCACCTCCATGACTTTTTTCCCTCCTCTTCCCTTCGAAGCAAACTAGAAAAGAAGAACAAACCACATGATATAATGGAAGACACGCAGTTCATTGATACAGCCGATTTTAACAATTTGGAGGAGGTAACAATGGAAGGCTTTCTCGCTTGTCAGTGTACTAAGTGGGGGACAAGGTTACCTCAGTGTCGTTCACGGTCTGATAAGCAGAGCCAATTGGTGATCATATCGTTTGTCGCACCTTTTCCCGCCCCGCTCCAATGGCAGGATATTCTCCGAAAACTGGACGTCATCTACAAGTACATTAAGGACACGATCTACATAATCAACAAAGCCAAAAAGGAAATTTCGCTCAAGGATGATAATTATATGGAGTCAATGAAGAACAATTTAGGCAAGCGGGGAAAGAAAAACGCGACCGCCCTGGGGGGAGTGGCGCACCTGCGTGAATAGTGAGCCAAACATTTTGTGCATATATCTCTGTGCGTCTGCACATTTCCTCCAAATGGAAAAATCCTCCCCTTTTTTCAGACGACAATATTGAGTTCCTCACATATAATAACATCAAAGAGAAGAATAACTAATCCCCTGGGTGGAGACATATTTTGCGAAGGTATAAAAAGGAGGAGCAGCAGCAGGAGCAGGGGGTGGAAACTCCCATTTGTGTGATTCTCTATGGGGTTGGATCTGTGTGTACCCTATTCATTGTGTGTAAAAAGGCGAAGACGCCTAAAAGATGGGTTGCCCCTTCTTTATAGCTTCGCGATTAACGCGCGCTTATAAATTCCGAGTATGACCTCAAAAGGGGAACAAGGAAGTTAACAGAAATGTATGTGCTGGAAGGAGAGATCAGGGGAGAGTTTACAAAAAGTTGAAATTTTTTTTCTTTTTTTTTTAACTCATCACTGTACAATTTTGTGCCCTCACACACACCCTTTGTAACTCTGTTTATGCTTATCTGCCCATACGATGGATGGTAACTCAGCTGATGATACTTCAAAATTTTCGCCTTTTAAAAACTCTCCACTTGTGCAAAGATACGAGAAGCACGAAGTACTGAGCGGAACAATACGACAGACAACAAGGGCAAAACGCAACGAGGTGATAACCTTCTGGTGGGTGTTCATTTGGGGGGGGGGTATATTTTTGATCGCCCCGTTGGGTTCCTACAGAGAGGATTTTGCCTTCAACTTCCAAAAAAAAAAAAAAAAAGGCAAAATAGTGTGTCACTCTGCCCATGTATTACCCATTATCGATGAAGCTGCAACTCGCGGGAGTAATCCCATTTAGGTAGGACACTTCGCTCAGAAACTCCAAATAGGCAGTGACCTTTTCCTTGTCCGATAAAAAAAACGGGAGCATATTATCCTTTACGTCCACATAATTGGAAACGCTATTTAGGCACCTTAACCCGATGTTCCCCGAATATAGCAACTGAAAGTTGATACTCCTGTGCCACTTTAAGATGCTGTACGAACCGATGAAGTATAGCTGATCGTGGTAGACACTGCCAGGGATGGCGGTG